CAACAGAACCGACACACACAACCAACAGAACCGACACACACAACCAACACAGAACAAACAAACAGAACCAACAGAACCAACACAGAACAAACAAACAGAACCGACACACACAACCAACAGAACCAACACAGAGCTCAGTTCTGCCGACCCAGGTTCCCGTCCTGCTCAGCAGCTCATTTGAATCAACAAACTGTTTTTGTGTTTGAACTCGTCAGCTGTGACCCTGTTTGGACCGGAGCGATGCACGTGGAGCTTCTGGATCAGAACTTCATCCTCTGCTCTTTGTTCACATTAAAGCGATGAGACCTGATTTGAAACAGATGGACTCTGAGGCCTCCAGGCACCTGTTCAAACCCTGACCCGTCTGCTGCTCTACCTGTCGTCTACGCACACACAGACAGAACCTTTGTGTATTTTGGGTTTTTGTTTGCTGCGTTTGTGGAGATGCTGCTGATCACATCTGGAACAACAACAAGATCAGAAATTTAATATTTCTACTAGTTGTTTTCTGGCTGACCAGATGTTTCCACAGAAGACTCAAAGACGTGTTTAGTTTCTGAAGCAGCTGTGTTTTAAACTTGCACAATAAAACCTGACAATCTAATCTAGCGTCTTACAATCATCGTGAATTTTTTGTTTTCTTGCATCTAAAAGTGAATTTCTCCAGGAAATAAAATGTCAAGGAAATCTTGTTGAAACTGCACCAAAACTCAGATTTTAATAAAAGTATATGAACTTTATTCAGTTTAAAAATGTGTGAAGACAGCTAAACACTGAAGCTTTTCATGACTCATGACATGAAGTTAATTAGTTTAAAGCACCGGTTGATTAGTTTAATTTATTAGTTTTGTGATTGTTGGTAGATTTATTAACGGCTGTTAAATAATTTTAATGTTTAAAAGTGAAGGGCAGAGCTGCTGGTGTGAGCAGGTTTTATTTAAAGGATTTGGTTCATGTTCCTCTGAAGCTGCTCGTTAACTTGATACCTGAATGCAGGATTCTGACTCCGGATCTGTTCATGTGAAACACACGGAGCATCAGAACCAGTCAGAGTCATGAAGATGAACATTAATAATCTAACGGCTCCACACCATTAAAGCCCGACTAGATCTAATTAGATTCACGCCTGAACGTACTCGAGATGCTGCAGCTGCTGCAACCAGCGCACTGTTCAGTCCTCGGAGCGACGACGCTAGTCATCGTTTTAAATCTTACAGATCCTTCTAAGGGTCGTTAAATATACAATTAATTAAAATGATTACAGCTACATTTTGGTAACTGGAACGTACACATCAAAAATGTTTCATACTGGTGTTGGATGTCGCCCAGCGACAGCCCCGATATCTGAAGCTATATTTATTTATTTTGTTTGTTTTAATGGCATCAGTCATAAACAACAAGTCATTTCTGTCGACCTCCACATGTAACCCAACTGTTATTCTTTGTTTGAACAGAAGTTTTATGAGTCTACTTTTTAAAAGAGGACCCAAAGATCGAAACAGCTCAGTCCAGTGGGGGGAGGGTTTATTTTTAATCACCCGTCTCCGTAACGTTGTAATGAAACGGTCGTTTTAATCGGACCATCGAGCGGTCTATGGGACCTCTGTGGAACTGAAGATGACAGAATATGATGCTGTCACTTCTTACGCTCAATCAACAAGACATCTTTGATTGTTTAGACAATTTATTTTTAAAAGTTCCTGATGTAAAATCAGTTTTCTGGACTAAACTTCAGCTCATCTCGTGTGTTTTGTGACTCACCGCACTGATCCATTTTTAAACTATTACGTTTTCTGTGGACACCGATTGGTGGAGAGGCGGCGAGTCCATACGTTTTTTAAATCCAGAAAACTAACCTGATCAGAACCGGTTACCATGGTAACAGACCCAGCTGAGATGCTGAAAAGTCCAAATGAAACCTGACGGTACCTCGATGAAACACTGAACCTGCTTCGTAGAACAAAACGGTGTTTAAAGACTCCAGCGCTGTGTGAAAACAGCTGGCATTTGTTACAGATGTTAAACCAATAAACAGAAAATATGAACAGTTTAAGGTGATCACGCTTCTTGAATGTCAACATTTAATACTCAGATTAAAATCAGGGAGGTTTTATCAGTCCTAATTGACAGTTTGGCTGCTAGAATTTCATGTTTTAGATGTTTGTTCTCAAAACAATTCCTACTTGTTTAAAACCAAATTAAACTCCTCTGATGCATGCGCTGCTTTTGGGCCTTTTCCATGAAACATAAAGAACTTTGAGTTTGCCTTCGTCCACTAAGGTTTAAAACTCAAACTGTTCCACACCAAGCTGACTGTCATACAGAACATAAAACATGAAATTAATTTCTTTAAGACTCGGCACCTCTAAGATCCATTTCTTTCAGAGTGATTTTTAACTTTGTGCTGCAAACATTCATCCCGTCACTCACAACTTCTACTTTTACAACATGACACGTAACATTCTGGATGTTGGAATGAGTCGTGTAGAACCAGGAAGCTGTGGAGCTTTATGCACATGGTCCAAGGTGACGACGAGCCACGACACTGGACTCACTGACACGAACAGGACTGAGACCCACGGACCCACCACAGAACCAGAAACAGGCGCAGCACTGAACCATGGCAGAACGCACGGCGGCAAAAAAGAGGGTGTGTGACAAAAAAACAAACTGAAAAGCAAACATGAACGCAAAGGTTCACCCCAAACAAAAATGAACCGACAACATGAATGCAGAAGAACGACAGACAGCAGGAGGAGGAAGAGGAGGAGGAGGCTGCAGAGGACAAGGCAGGAAGGGATGAAGAAGAGGAGGAGCCAAATGTGTTTACAAGACAACATCAAGTCCTGAGCAACACCTGCAAGAAGGCAACAATGAGAGGAGGAGACAGAACACACACAGGACGGGTTCTACAGGAGCCCAGAGCCCGGCTGCAAGGGTGCAACTCCAACATCACAGATCATCTTCCTGTTTGGACCTGAACATCACAGATCATCTTCCTGTTTGGACCTGAACATCACAGATCATCACCCAGTTTGGACCTGAACATCACAGATCATCACCCAGTTTGGACCTGAACATCACAGATCATCACCCAGTTTGGACCTGAACATCAAAGATCATCTTCCTGTTTGGACCTGATCATCATAGATCATCACCCTGTTACGATCTGAACATGACAGATCATCACCCTGTTTGGACCTGATCATCACAGATCATCTTCCTGTTTGGACCTGATCATCACAGATCATCACCCTGTTTGGACCTGATCATCACAGATCATCTTCCTGTTTGAACCTGAACATCACAGATCATCTTCCTGTTTGAACCTGAACATCACAGATCATCTTCCTGTTTGAACCTGAACATCAAAGATCACATTCCTGTTTGAACCTGAACATCACAGATCATCTTCCTGTTTGAACTTGAACATCAAAGATCATATTCCTGTTTGAACCTGAACATCACAGATCATCTTCCTGTTTGAACCTGAACATCACAGATCATCTTCCTGTTTGAACCTGAACATCAAAGATCACATTCCTGTTTGAACCTGAACATCAAAGATCATATTCCTGTTTGGACCTGATCATCACAGATCATATTCCTGTTTGAACCTGAACATCACAGATCATCTTCCTGTTTGAACCTGAACATCAAAGATCACATTCCTGTTTGAACCTGAACATCA